ACAGCTGGGCTACCCTGCCCTGAAATCACTGCCTTTTCTTTTTTTTTTTAAACATTTCAAAATTACTACTAAGGCAGAAAAGCATTATTACATATAAATTTTAATGGAAATGAGCAAGACTGAAATCAGTCAAAGGATAAATTAATATTTACAGTTCCCACAGGCTCAGTATTGTATCAGATTTTGCTATTTCCCTCCTACATATGGAAAACTTGATCTGCTTACTATTCTGCAGAGACAAATGACCAGTGCTTGGATCAGCAGTAATTTTATAGCAAGAATTCAGTGAATCCTTGAACTTGAACAAAAATGCTATTTTCTCAAAGATCTTACCACTCACTTTGTGACTGTCCTAATCTATAACCAGCTTCCAAGATTAAAAAACCAAGCAGTAATTCACAGAACGTTCTCTGATGCCCATAGCTTGATCCTGAAGATGTCCCTTATTTACAAGCCAGCAATTCCTCCTCACCTTCATTTTCTCTGCACTGCCGGTCTTAAAGGTTTCCACCCATTTTATCAAATGCACTCGTTTTTATCAGAACCGAATTAAATGAGAATGCCAAGTATTTCCTAAACTTAAAGAAATCCTCTCTCTCTCTATGCACACACACAGTCTACATGGTATATATGTATAGACACACACATATAGTACTACATATGAGTATATATATTATATAGCTATATGCACATGTCCACATACATATGCATACATACATATGTATACACGTGTTTCACACATACATATTATATGTATACATTAAAACGTGTGTGTGTGTGTGTGTGTAAAACAACTTAATGGGGGGGGGGGGTTTCTACAGTTGCAGGAAGAGAGATCAGAAAAGGCAATGCTGATGCTGAGGCTTGAAGACAACCAGGGCTTTGGGGGAGGAAGAACTTTGCACACACGGAGGGCGGCTGTTGCTCCCCATCGTGCCGGGGCTATGTTCCCCACATCAGCCCATGAGGTCCTTATTTTAAGTTGGTTTGCACCTGCCCACACCCAGCAGAGTCTCTGAAAGAAACCCTTGACAAGAGGTTCTTAAGTCACACGAACGAACATACAATTGGGGGCATCACAGGAAAGACATGAGGAGGCCACAGAAGGTGTCCCAATGGGCAGGAGGAGGGGAGAGGGGACAGAAAGACCTGTAAGGAAGAGATTCCAAGAGTCTGACCTAGGGCAGAAACCACGACAAGGGAGAGGGGATGAATGTGGCCAATAACATGGAGAAGAAAAACCAGGACACAACTTGCTTTGGCTGCAGGTATTGAAGGAGGAGAAAGTCTAAAGCTTTCTAACATGGCGATGAGGAGAACAGGGACCCGCCCACAGAAAAGAGTCCAGTCGGGAGCAGGAGCAAGCTTCAGGGGACAAATACCGAGCTTCCTCTTGCACCTGTGGGGCATTCAGGTATCTGAGGTCTGAGGGCTGGGTCTTCCAGCTTGGCCCCGAGGCACCGGGTTCATCTTGGGGGAATTCTGCACTTTTATTCAATCTAACACCTACTATGCGCCAGATGCTGTGCCTGCCCTCAAGGAACTTGTATGGCAGGGAAACAGATCTGATGAGAGAATCTGAGAAGCGAGAGAGAGCTCACAATTGGGGAAAGGGATTGTCAGGAAAGGCTTGAAGCTGTGGGAAAGGAGTCCAAACATGCAAGAGACAAATGGACGACGGAATGCCAAGTTCAGGAAACAGCCAAAGGCCCAGTTTGGCTAAAAACTGAGAGGGGAATAATGTGAACTAAGTCTGGAAGGAGAGGTGAGAGCCAGATCGTAAAGAGTTTTAAATACCAGAATGAAGGGTTTGCTTTTTTTCTTTGAAAGGCAATGAAAGGTCAAAGAAGATTTCTGAGCAAGGAATTAATGACGTGGTAAGAACAATATTTTAGGAAGACAAATCTGCCAATTAAGAAAAATGGCTTCCATCAAAGAAACCAAAAGCAGGGAGGCCAATTAGGAGGCTGATCATTCAGTCATGAAACAAGCATGGCATGTCTTCACCCCCCAGAAAGTGCCAAGCACTGGAGATAGACATTACACACACACACACACACACACACACACACACACACTCTCTCTCTCTCTCTCTCACTCTCTCTTTCTCTCTCTCTCTCCCCCCAGCAAAAGAGCCTCTACTTTCACGGATCTGGAATCTTCCTGGGGAAAACTGGAACCCAGGTGGTAAATACGAGAGTATTGAGGCATTAAGGGTCTGGGGGTTTGGGTGTATGAGTGAGGAGGACAACAGCCTTGGCAGCTGAGTGGCCATGGGGAGGGGAAGAGAGGTATGAGTCTTAAGTTATGAATCTGGCAGTTTCCACAACAGAAATATCACCATTTGGCAAGAGATTCTGAATCGAGCTCCCTAGATAGGGTGGAGAAGACAATAAATTCCATTCTGGACATGTCAAGTTCAAAATGCCTGTGAGACATCCAGGTGCAGATTTCCAGTCAGCAGACACTAGTTAAGAGAAGTTAGCTGCAGTTGAACACAGAAATCTGGGAGTGGAGATGATAAGTATATTAAATTAATAAATGCTCTTCCTTTCTGAAAAGGAAGCCTCCATACAGGCCCTCTCATGCAAAGAGTGACCACATAAGGTTCTTGGCTACTTCCTAACAATCTGAGCCGTCCAAAAACAGAAAGGGCCTTCTCAATAGGGGCTAGGTCATGGGGGTGGGGAACCTGCGGCCTCGAGGCCACCTACGGTCTTCTAGGTCCTTGGGTGCGGCCTTCTGACTGAGTCCAAGTTTTACAGAACAAATCCTTTTATTAAGGGGATGTGGCCTTGAGGCGGCAGGTTCTCCAGCCCTGGAGGATCTCTCTCGGCTTGAAGACTTCCAAGGGGTCTCGAAGATCACTTGGTCCTGTGCTGTTGATACTTTTTATAGTCAAGGCTCCCAACATATAGTAGGCACTTAATTAGTGCATATTTATTCATCAGATTAACAATAAACATGTAGATGGCATGGATAACCACTTGTCAGGTGTGTGGTCGTAAGGTTTCAGGTGTGGCCTGGACCGAGATACCTTCCACCTCTGAAATTTGGTGATTCTGTTTAGACTAGAGCAAAATAGTAAAGGTAGAGAGGTCCGGACAGAAACCGCATGGCTTCTGAACAGAGCTCCAGTTAAAGGTAAAGACGAAGATAATCCTCAAGACTTTTCTCTAAAAGTCTGCAGGATCCATTTAAGACATCGGAAGACCAGTAGCTGGGGAAAAGCCATCACCCAAACTCTGGCCCCACTCAGGTGCCAAGACCCCTCCACCTCACCATCGCAGACCTCAAAGGGGGTGGGAGGGAGGGAACAACTGCCCATCCCTTCTGCCACTTACTGAAGCCTGCTCAGGGCAGCATGGGAAGCCTGGTGAAGTATATTCAAGGTTTTTTTTGAAACCTGAAATCACCAATACCCCAGAGCAGAGCCAATCAATAACTTAAAAAATTCTTCTGGGAAATGATTATGTTCCTGCACACTGGCTATATTTCAATGCACAATTAGCTTCTTTCTTCCATGCCAGAGCAAAGCCCATGTTAGCAGCCAAAAAAAAAAAGGAAAAAAGAAAAGAAAAAAAAAGAGGAGAAACTCTATATCCCTACTCTAAAACTTTCTCTAAGTACTAATGGCTAGGATGAAAGAAGAAGGAAGCCCAAAAAGCTGCCCTACCACCTGGAGCCCCCTGACCTCCCCTGCAGAAGCTCCTTAAGGACAGGACCAATCTTGGTTTTCCTTTTTTTGTCTCATCTCCCCTGGCTGTCAGTGGGCACTCCAAGGATCATTCCCATCTTAACAATGAGGAGATTGGGCTAAAGGGTGACAGAGGAGGATCACTGATCAGTGCCGTTTCTGGCATGCAGTAGGTGCTTAATACTCTGCATGATTGTTAATTGGATTAATAAGAAGTGCCCAGATGGCACCGTCGTCAAGTCTGCAGATGACTCCAAGCTGGAGGGATGGCCAACCAGGGGCTGACAGAGTCAAGACCCAAGTCGTCCGCACAGGCCGAAACACTGGGCTGAGTCTAATCAGATGAAATTCAGAGGCCTCCCCAAGTGCAGAGGTTGGCTCTTAGTGAACGGGCAAGCTCGGTCCAGGTCAGTCCTGGGACACCAGGCCTGGACATGGCGCCCCAGGGACCAGAGCTGGAACCCAGACTCCCGCTGGAAGTTCGCTGACCAGAGCCCACGAGGCCAGGGAGAGGAGCTGGCTCTCCGGGCAGGCTGGTCATGAGCATCAACTCAGCTAAAGACTAGTTCGGGAGCAGGGCAAGTGCTAATTATTCTGGTCCCACTAAACCCCTGAGTGACCGCTGCCTGTCTGCCTCACGGGTCCCTTCTCCGTCAGGGCACATCTGGGAAGGCCTGAGACGCTAAGATGGAGACAGCCTCCAAGAGAGGGAACCCAAATTGTGCAAAGTCCAAGCTCCAGGAGCAACGACTTTAGGAACCGGGCTGCGTACCTCGGAGGTACCGAAGACCGAAGGGCAGGACACCTGGGCATCCCGGGGAGCACAGGGAGGACATTGCGGAGAGGCCCATTTGGACTTGAGGCAAGCTGCTCTCCAGCCCAGGTCTCTTGGGGAGTTGGACGGCTAGAGCTCTTGAGTACATGAAGTTAGAAGGAGAATCCCTTTACAATTCTAGGGGCTGGGCTTGTTATGTAGCTGACGTCTGGGGCAGGATTTGAATCCAAGGCCCTCCAGACTCAACTGGATCCAAAAAGCATTCATTCATTAAACACCTTCTAGGCGCACAGCGAAGAGCGAGGGAGGGAGCGCAGAGACAAAGACAATTGCGAGTCTCTCCCCCGGGGCGGGTCGGGGAGAGGCCCGCCCTTCCCCTGCCCAGGACGTCCGAAGGAAACCAAGGAGGCCGGGGAGAAGCACGCCGGGCGCTCTCCGGGCCCACGTCGGGGGGCCGTGGCTGGGGGTGGGCGGCCCCGCGGGCTGCGCGGAGGGCTCTCTCCCCTTCCCCCTGCTCTCCCTCCCTACCTGGAGTCGAACTTGCGGCCGTCGGGGAAGGTGCCCACGTAGTGGTAGCGCACGAAGTCCCCGGCGCGCACGGTCCGCGGGCACTGCTCGGGCACGGAGCGCCGCTCCACCTGGAGCTCGGGGCCCAGGCCCGGCGCCGCCCGGCCCGCCACGCCGAGCAGCAGCAGGGGCAGCAGCAGCGAGGGCGGGGGCGCGGACGGCGGGGGCCGGGCGGCGCGTGGTAGCGCCGCCATGCAGCCCCCGACGGTGCCCAGCTGGGGCGAGAAGCGGGGCGGGGGGCCCGGTAGGGGGGTACGGCCCGGTCCAGGCGCGGGCTCCGGCCGCAGACTTTGCAAACGTGGAGAGAACTTCCCGGGCCTGCGCCTCCGCCTCCCCCGGCCCGGCCCGGCCCCCTCTCTCCTCCCCAGGGCGGGCCGCGCGGGGCGGGTCTTGGCCGGCCCGGGGCCTGGGAGGGGATCCCGGCGGGCCGGCCCTCCCCTCCGCCCAGCCGGCTTGAGAAGGGGCGTGGGAAAAGGCGGGCGGGGGGCCGGCCCCTGGCCCGGCTGCTTCGAGACCCCCGCCACGTGGCGTGGCGGGCAGCTGCGGGGAGGAGCCGTCGGTGGCGGCCCCGGCCCCGGGAGACCCGCACACGGCCAGCTCTAGACTAGCTTGCATTCCCCAAACCACCCAGGAGCGCACGGCACCGGCTGTCCAGCCCCCGGCGTCCTGGACGGCACGTGTGAGCGTGGGGCCAGGCCAGGGAAAGTGACCGAGCCAGGGGCACACAGGGTCACACCGTCTGAGCCAGCGCTCTTGCTTTGCACTGCCCAGAGGACCCCAGACCCAGAGCTGGAAGAGACCCCAGGAGCCAGAGTCTAGAGAGGGACGGACACTCGCCCGAGATCAGCTCCCCCGGACCGGCATATCTACTAGCTGCCTCGGCTGCTTAACATTCCCTGACTTCATTGATGGATAAGGACAATAGTAGTAACTGTTCTCTGTGTAGCCCTTTGCAATTAAGAAACATGAATGCCCTATGTCCTCAGGCCAGGCCACCTAGAAGTGCTTCTGGAGCAGGAGCTTCTGCGGGAGAGCAGCGCTCCTTCGATCCCTATTTAGCCCCAAAGGGCAGGGACTGGGAGATGCAAGGCTTCCCCAGGATGTGAGCTGTCCCGAAGTGGGCCGGGAAGCCACCTGAGGCAGCCCATCCCCCAGCTCCTTCCGGAGGGCTTCCGTCCAAGGCTGGCGCCCCCATGCTCTGGAAGATTCTAGTGGCGGTTCCTTTTCCTGTCTGGGTGAAGCTAGCTGGCCACTAGGACCTGTGCAGTCCCCAAGTTCGTCGATTCTGAAGCAGCCCTTGTAACTATCCACTCCCACTCAACAAGCATTTATTAAGCATCTACCACGGGGTCTAGTAAGTTGGAAATGTTCTGCTTACTCCCTACACACCTGAAGTGTGCTTCACCTTCAGAAACCAATGCAGGTTGTATGGAAATCTCTACAATGCCCTTCTTCATCCTTTTGGTACTTCCCATGAGGAAAATGGCCCCAGAGTGGCTGGGAGAGTCATTTAGGAGGCCCTGGAGCACTTGTTCCAGGGTTGAAGAACCATGATTGATTTGTTCAGGATTTTCATTGCAATTACCCCATACAGTAGGTTTTGCAAGTATTATTGCACCCATTTTTACAGATGAAGAAACTGAAGCTTGGAAAGGAAGTGACACCCAAAGCCAAGATCCAGGGATCACAGATTATACATTGCAAGTATTACTGGCCCCTTTTCAAAGCTGAGTAAACAGAATAAAAAGGGTAAGTGACTTGCCCAAAGTCATACAACTGAGTAAGATTTCTCTTAAGTTCTTCCTGGCTCCAAGCCCCATACCCTACCATATATAGAAGATGAGACAACCTGATGCTTGCTGGCTGGATGCACCCAGAACAGTTTCATCTGGGAACAGGCATTTGAGAAACCTCACTGTTTGTGCCTCTGCTTGAAACCTTCTCCAAGAAAGGAGTGAACATTCCTGGGGGGGGGGGGGTGTCCCTGTTTTATGGGCTGGCTAAATATTAATGCTTAGATCAGGCCTCTGGAGCTGCTCAAGGGAGGCCTCTTGTTCCCAAAGAGCCATAAAGGAGGCATTTTGCTTTAAGAATCCATTGGTTTTTAAAGTCAACAAATAATCTGCCCTGTGGGCTCTTGTATCCACTACTCCTTTCCATCAATAGTGTGACTGTGAGGGTGTGGGCCGCTGTAGGAGGAGGGGAGCATCTAGGAAACACTAAAACCTTGGGATCCAGAAGAGTGATGGAAAAGGACTGTGCCCAAAGAAACAAAGAATACAGAAAAAAGGGAAGACTTATATGAACTGATCCAAGGTCAAGAAATCAAGTCAACAAGCATTTATTAAGCACTTACTATGAGCCGGGCACCCTGCTAAGCATAGTGGCAAGCATTTATATAATGCTTCAAAGTTTGCAAAGTGCTTCATAAGTATTATCTCATTTTATCCTCACAACAACCCTGGGAGGTAGGTGCTATTATTATTCCCATTTTACAGATGAAGAAACTGAGGCAGACAAAGATTAAATAACTTCTCCATCACAGCTAGTAAGTATCCAATAAAACCCAGCAGGTATAGCTGGAAAGAAAAGCCCCATGCAAAGTAACTACAGAAGCTTTAAAGTATTTGGAAGTCAGTCTACTGAAACACACCCAAGTACTGTATAAACCTCTCTTTGCAGAAATATAGACCTAAAAATAAGAGAAATATTAATTGCTCGTGGGTAGGTCAAGACATTGGGTATATGTTCAGGCAGGACTAGCACCTCTGTTGTGAGGGCTTGCCCAGCCCTTTCCGGGGCTGCTCATGTACCTGTAGTGTCCACCTTTCACCTAACTCACCCGCGGCTCCAGGGAGCACGTGCTTCAGCCACACTCTGGTAAAACCATCTCCAGAGACTGGCTAAAAAGCCTCAAGCCTGTTGATGAGTTAGGGGGGTGTCTACCTCCAAGAATGTGAAGACTTCCCCCAGCAAAATGGGTGGATGAGGACAGTGTGTTCCAACAGCCGCGAAGTCAGCTGAAGCCGGTGCTGTGGAGCACTTAGAGCTCAATCAGACATTGAAGACGCCAAGGTCATCCTCCACATCCCAGGACTTTTGTCCTGCCACTGGATTTCAGTGACTCCGGAAGAAAGAATGAGGCTGACAACTTTGTGCAACTCTGTCTCACTGAAATCCAATCCATGCCCAGGTCAAGACATGGCCCCATGATGTCATTGGTCCTCTTCAAAAACAAAGGACGAACAACAAACCAGTAACTGAGACTAGACAGGTCCCACCCTAGCTACGGCCATTTAAACTGCCTCTAAACTAATAGATACAAAGAAAGGCTTTAAAAAAAGCCCCTGCTCTCTAGGAACTGCTGGTGTACTGGAAGATATGATTCTAGTGCCTTACCCACTCTGATTATCTAAGATGTATGCTATCCATAACTTGTTTGTACAGAGCTGTTTGCGTGCTGTCCCCTCCTCCACTAGACTGTGAGCTCATTGAGGGAAAAACCTTTTTTTGGGGGGAGGGAGGGGCTTTCTTCGTACACCCAGCACTTAGCACAGTGCCTGGCACATGGTAGGTGCTTAATAAATGTTTTGTTTTAAAACTGACTACAGAGCTTTTTTATGCTCATCTTGTCCACAAGAAAAGATGTTGGGACCCAAAAACCAGTCAGTAAGGGTCTGATGTCAATTTAGAGGGACCAGTTCTTAGCCCTGATGTTGAATAATGTATTTGTCAAAGACTTGGATAAAGGCATAAATAAACAGCAAATTCATCAGATCTACAGATGATTAAAAAGGGGTAGTTGACATGTTGTATAATACAGTCATGACCCAACAGGTCTCGATGGGTAGGCCCATGGGCAGGCCTCTACAGATAGGGATAGAAATTGGAAGGGGGAGGTAGTGCCTTCCTCTGTAAATTCTCATACAAAGTCTGAATGACCACAGGTGTGTTGTAGAAGGGATTTCTGTTTGGATAGGTTTACGACAGGAAGCCTCTGAGCTCCCTTCCAACTCTGATATTCTGTGATTTAGACGCCTCTCCGAAGGACAAGACCAATGCTAACTGAAGACTCTCTTCTTTCCCCGATCCTCCATCTCAAAAAACTGCTCTTCTGTTCTGCCCTACTTTGCTTCTCCAGGATCCACCAATTACCACCTTGAACTGATGAACTCAATTAATGTTTTCCCTGAACATCAATCAGTTTGGTTGAAGAAAAGGTCCCAGATCCAGCTACAATTTCAAGCAGAATTTGAAAACAGGAAAAAATAGAAAATAATCACCAGACTGTTGATAGCGCTCACAGGTTGTCTGTGAAAAGGCTGTCTGGAGCAGAGTCCCCTTTGGCAGCTTGGTGAAGCCCAGGGAAGGAACCCTTCTCAGGGAGCGCACTTCCCTGGAACTGTTAAAAGCAGGGACTATGTGAAATTTGCAAGCAAGTACACCCATCTCTCTCTCTCTCTCTTTCTCTCTCCCTTTCTGGAGAGTAAAAAATTTTACTGCTCTTTAGGGAAGGGAAGGGAATGATTTCACCCACTAGAGAAATGAAACCTTCAAATTCTTGGACAAAATGATATGGCTATATCCCTGCCCCCCACAAAAAAAAGATTCTTTAATTTTTAACCTTTAACCTTTAATCTACATTAAGAATGCATTTTAGGGGCAGCTAGGTGGCGCAGTGGATAGAGCACCGGCCCTGAATTCAGGAGGACCTGAGTTCAAATTCGGCCTGAGACACATAACACTTACTAGCTGTGTGACCCTGGGCAAGTCACTTAACCCCACTGCCTAGCCAAAAAAAAAAAAAAAGAATGCATTTTAGATTTTTGGCTGTATGACCAAATGTTGTTACCAATGAAAGTATTTGTTTCCTGTGTTTTCTGTGAGTCTGTGTTGATATCTGTTCAGTAGAACAATGTGTAGTAGTTTACAGGAAACTGAAACCAGTTTAAAAGTTTTGTATTTGGTGATTCCAAAAGTGGAAAAATTCTTAAAAAGCAGTATTGTAGTTTTAAGTTTCCAGAAGCTAAACCTTGTGTAGTACCTAAGAACCACCTAACAGGTATTATATTGTTCTCTTAAATATTCTCATTTAAATTACCTTGAGCAAAGGCTTTGAAAGCAATATCAAATACATTTAAGAAAAAAATGACAACATTTAATTTTCCGAGTTGGGTTTACCACAATACAGTGAGCTTCTCTAAATCATTTACCAG